TTTCATTAATATTTACTATCAGTGAAAGCGTCTAGCTACGGATATTTTTGGCTATAGAAGATCATTAAACTCCGCGCTAAGTTTTTTGTAGATGTACATTCAGTGGATCAAGTCGGATGACGTCAAGAGAATTCCGGCTTGTCAGCATAAATCGCTGGTCTGTTCACACGATTGGACAGTGCTGATCAAACTTTTATGCGATTGCTAGGGAAACTCTACTTCATCTGCCTCATCATGTGTAAAAATTCTTCTTGACTAAAGTAGAACTTTTAAGTGAAAAAAAAATTACATTAGATTCATATCTTTTTCCGATTAGAGTATCTGCAAGGTCTTTTGGTCTCAGTTGGTCGATTTGTCTTGTTTGGTCGATTTGTCTAGTTTGGTCGATTTGTCTTATTTGGTCGATTTGTCTTGTTTGGTCATTCGTATTGTTTGGTCGACTTGTCTTGTTTGTTCGATAATCCATCCATCTCACCTATCACCCAGCTGAATCCGCTCACTTTGACCTACACCAATATAGCCACAGCACGTGCCTGCCTCAAAGAGCCACGAAGATGCCGCAGCAACAAGTGTAAGGACGTCCCCACCCCAGTCTCCCCCTCACCCCCCCCCCCCCACACACACACACACAGACCAGCGTCGTGTTGACTCATGTCCCAGCAAGTGCCAATAATTAAAGGCTCTAGGAACCATACAGCAGCAGTCATCAGCAGACGTCGCCCCACCCTGGGGAGGCACGTCAGTGACCCAGGGGCTGAGCTCCCTATTGAATCAGACCCGTGGGGGAGGCACGTGATTCAGGCCAGTGCTAACTGGGACGTCAGCTCCCGCTAGGAATTATTCGGGTTTTTCCGTTGTAGTTAATTATAGACACAAAATGTGATGGTCCGAACAAAACTAGATTGAACGCAACCTTGACCTTCGTCTTAATTACACAATGCACAAATCATTTTTAACGCAACCTTGACCTTTGTCTAAACTACACAATGTACAAACCTTTTTAAGGTAACCACGTCTTTCGAACTTGACCGAACACAATGTACAAACCACTGATCACTAGCCTAAAGTGTCAAAAAACGGGTCTAGGACATTACCCCGGTCAATTGCTCCCCCCCCCCTCCCTACAGGGATTTTGTGCTCAGGGATTAATCTCTGGGGGTTACTTTATCTGGGAGTTAAAGACAGGGGTAATGACAGCGGGGTAATTGACCACAACTTTAGAGGTATAGCCACCCCCCCCCCCCCGACCACCAGCTTAGAGGTATACCCCCCCCCCTCTCACCATAATAGAGATCTAACCCCTCCCCCACCATTAGCCTACAGATATAACTCTCCCCCCTACCACCACCCTAGAGGTATAACAAACCTCCCCCCCTCGATCACAGGAGCCCAGAGGTATACCCCCCCCCTGACCACCAGCCTAGGGATGTAACACCCCCTGACCACCAACCTCCAGCCCTGATGCAATACCCAGCAACCCTGAACCGTAGAAGCCAGTTTACAGCAACGACAACTTGCCTGAACAAAATCAATCCAGCTACTGGCTACATGCGGCTACATGCGGCTACAAGCGGCTACAAGCGGCTACATGCGGCTACATGCGGCTACATGCGGCTACATGCGGCAACATGCGGCAACATGTAACCCACGTGACGAGGGTAGCTCGGGTGACGCTGTTATTAATTGCCAAGTTTTTTCAACAGCCCAAAAATAGAAGGCGGATGTTTGTAAACACTGGGGAGCTTGCTGCATCAGAGAGAAATGTAGTCCAGCACGCCGTGACAGATGTCAGACGTTATCGTCCAGCAGGTCATGACGGACGTCCGGCATTGACGTCCAGCGGGTCATGACAGACGCCAGGCATAGTCTTCCAGCGAACACAGACTTTCGTCCAACATTCATGTATAGTCTGTATAGAGTGTAATACTCTAAACAAATTCGCAATGCAATATGGTACTATCGCCAAGCATATCGGCCAGTAGCATACGACATTCGCTAAACATATTTGCCAAGTAACATACGATATTCGCCAAGCATCACATTGCTGGCGAATCAAATCTTACACGTGTCGCTGTCGCCGATAATACGTCATTAATTTTCCTGGCAGGGGTTTAATTAAGTTATTCCCTCCCTTGTTTTACGCTGTCAAGGTCAGGCTGTGAAGGTCACGCCGTGAAGTCTGCCACATTGGAACACGATCACAACCAATTTATCGCTTGACCAACTCTAATCATTTTTACCCGCTCTTTTATTATTGGCAATATTTTATTACTTTAGTCTTTTGAATTGACATGGTCTTCGTGTGTACGCTTTTATAATTACCTGCGCCCAAAAATAATGAATGTCCTTAAGAGCGCTCTTGTCTGACAGACGACTCGTTGTTTTGTCGCATTTCACGACAAAGACATTTTCCGCGTTGGTGAAGCTGACAAGCGCCGTAACTCCGCCCGCCGTCAGGGGATTAAAACCATAACTCTGCCCATTATTCCTGCTATGGTTCCCTGCCCTTTGCACTGTGCTTCATCGAACGGCTGTCGTCCGCGAGATTGTCGTACACGAGTTACTTCCCGTGGGATATGTCGAACGAATTTCAGAGGCGTCAAGTGGTTACATGGATATCACAACTGGCCGCCAACAAAAGGGTTCCCGACAATTATCGTCGCCGTGTTTTTGTATACAAACCCCGGCAAGTAAAGTAAAAAAAAAAAGTTTCCCTTTCAAAGTTATCGGTAGATGTTCATTTGTTTCTTGACCTCAGCATATGAAGGACAGTGTGGTCTGCACTATGCCCAGACGCCTATACTTTCCCTAACTTCTGTCAGGTACTCATCAGAGCTGGGTGGACTCAGAGACGTCCTGCAGTCTCGAGATCCCGACCTACATCCAACTCAAAACCTTCTGGCTAGAAGTCGAGCACTCTACCTCCCGACCACACTGTCCCATACTTTTTTTCAGAACAATCGATTAATTAAGCGCTCTTTGCATATATATATATATATATATATATATATATATATATATATATATATATATATATATATATATATATATATATATATTCTCAGCCCTACCACCGTTCACCGCAGTTCACCATCGCCACTGGTCAACAGCGCTCACCTTTCAACCCATCCAACTCCCCCCCACCCGTCCCACACACACACACACACACACACACACACAAACGCGGTTCACCCAAGTCCCCCGGTGACTGACACTGATTCTGCCATTTCGTTGTTTCGGTGTCTGCCTCCCCGTGGACCCGCCCAACCATCTGGCCAATCAACCTGACGTGGCCGCTCTAACCGGCTGATGTAAAGCGACCAGGGCCCGCGTAAAGCAGTGAGAACCCGACGTAAAGCGCATTAAAGGCGGGGGCCCGGGCAGGGAGATGACCCGCCGTAATGCGAGCTAATGCCAATTAAACTGTGATTAGGCGCGGCAAACATGGCGGCCGCGGAATGTTGTTCACAGGAAGTCAGGTGAATGATGGGAGATTTACTTGTCACAGGGGTCACCTGCCGCTAGGGTCGTTAAGTGACCTGTCACGTGGGTTCCTGTCGTAACCTGCCGCTGGGGTCGTTAAGTGACCCGTGACTGTGAGTGACCTGCCTATGTCAAATGTCACCCTTGTATCTCAGATTTTGGACCTAAAAATATCATCAGTTGTCTAAGTGTAAGGTCGTTGGGCATAAACGGTCATACTTGTAGATCTTTATCTGTCATACTTGTAGGTCTTTATCTGTCATACTTGTAGGTCTTTAGCTGTCATACTTGTAGGTCTTTAGCTGCCATACTTGTAGGTCTTTAGCTGTCATACTTGTAGGTCTTTAGCTGTCATACTTGTAGGTCTTTAGCTGTCATACTTGTAGGTCTTTAGCTGTCATACTTGTAGGTCTTTAGCTGTCATACTTGTAGGTCTTTAGCTGTCCTACTTGTAGGTCTTTAGCTGTCATACTTGTTGGTCTTCAGCTGTCATACTTGTAGATCTTTAGCTGTCATACTTGTTGGTCTTCAGCTGTCATACTTGTAGGTCTTTAGCTGTCATACTTGTAGGTCTTTAGCTGTCATACTTGTTGGTCTTCAGCTGTCATACTTGTTGGTCTTCAGCTGTCATACTTGTAGGTCTTTAGCTGTCAAATCTGTAGCTGTCAAACTCCTAGGTCTAATGTCTTTGGTTGTAAAACTGGAAGGTCTTTGGTTTTGGCTATCAAATGTAAGGTCGTTTGTCTTCAGCTATCTGAAACTGTAAGGTCTTTGGTTTTCGTCTGTCAACGGTTAGGTCTTTTTCTATGTCCAACACTAAGGTGTGAGGTAGTCCAACGACATTGAGGTGTGTGATGTGTGGTGTGTGGTGTGTGGTCTGCTCCCAACTGCTTCAGCATACAACCGTCCTTCACCTTCCAGCATAGAATTACCCCACCCCACCCCCACGCCGACCTGTATCTCTAATTTCCCTACTCCCCCAGCCCTGGCTTTGTGTGAGAGAAAGGTTTCTGATTTCTTGTCAGATAAAAAAATATTTCCTTTAGACAATTTCTGGCCGAAGTATTTTTTTAGAAATTCCTTTTTTAGGAAATCTGGAATCTTGCCTACACAGATTCGTAGAATAACGTTTTTGTCTCCAGGCTCTTTGTGACACTACCTTTACATCATTAATTCATTAATCTTATCGCTCATTTTTACCCCAACTGATATGAAACTATTATTTACTTGACTTTAATTATATACGTTATATACGATGTTACGTATTACGTGTATTTTAAACTACAACCCAATGAATCACTTAACCCCAGCTACCTTGACCTTGAGCTGTTCTTGTTGTAAACTGTATACTAATCAACCAAACTACGTTTAAACGGACTATTTAATTTTAAAATAATAAACAAAAATTAAACAAGCGCCTAGTTAAACCTGATATAATTAACCTGATCCAATAACCAAGGGTAAATAACTCTGATCTACCTGAACTTAATGAAAGTTTTTTTTGTTTTATTTTCCAGGACGAGAAGAATCAGATCATGACGACTAACGTTTGGCTTCGACAGGTAAGGTGGGTCTCGGTCACGTGATGAGGGGTGGGGGGGGGGGGGGGGGGTACGGTAGCTCGTGTTTCGGGAGGGGAGGGGGGAGGATTGTATAATGATTGTTTGGCTAGCTGGTCGGAAGTCTTTGATTGTATGTGCAGTGATATAATGATTGTGTGGCTGAAACAAGAACAAAAATACCTAAATGTGAAGAATGATTGGGGCAATTTATTTTAATTGTTTGTCTTCAAGTTTGTACTCAATCAGCACAGAGTGACTTATGACTGAGTGACTTATGACTGATTGACTTATGACTGATTGACGACGCTGTTGCATTTATTTCACCCTATTCTAACATGGCTTGTGTATGCCACTAACCACAAGGTCAATCTTAAGCTCCCACGGGCATGGTGTGACTTGAGCTCTTATTGACAGGGTCTGACTTTAGCTCAATCAGCCATGGTCTAACTTAATCTCATATAGATAGGGTCTGACTTAAGCTCATGAAGGCATGGTCTGACTTTAGCTCATATAGATAGGGTCTGACTTAAGTTCATGCAGGCATGATCTGACTTTAGCTCACATAGATATGATCTGACAACCTTTATGGACATGGTCTGACATTAGCTCACATAGATATGATCTGACAACCTTTATGGACATGGTCTGACATTAGCTCACATAGATATGATCTGACAACCTTTATGGACATGGTCTGACCTTAGCTCAAGCAGGCATGGTCTGACTTAATCTCATATAGATAGGGCCTGACAACCTTTATGGACATGGTCTGACCTTAGCTCAAGCAGGCATGGTCTGACTTAATCTCATATAGATAGGGTCTGACAACCTTTATGGACATGGTCTGACATTAGCTCACATAGATATGATCTGACAACCTTTATGGACATGGTCTGACATTAGCTCTGATAGGTTCTGGATCCAGTAATCTGATTAAATAGGTTAACCCTAATTAAGGTAATTAGTCTTCAACTGTGAGGTCGTGCAGCTACAGCTACAGCAACCACATGACGTAACACACCTGACGTGACACACCTGACGTGACACACCTGACGTAACACACCTGACGTGACACACCTGACGTGACACACCTGACGTGACACACCTGACGTAACACACCTGACGTGACACACCTGACGTGACACACCTGACGTGACACACCTGACGTGACACACCTGACGTGACACACCTGACGTGACACACCTGACGTGACACACCTGACGTGACACACCTGACGTGACACACCTGACGTGACACACCTGACATGACACACCTGACGTGACACACCTGACGTGACACACCTGACGTGACACACCTGACATGACACACCTGACGTGACACACCTGACGTGACACACCTGACATGACACACCTGACGTGACACACCTGACGTGACACACCTGACGTGACACACCTGACGTGACACACCTGACGTGACACACCTGACGTGACTCACCTGACGTGACTCACCTGACGTTGGTTGACGGTTCCAGTCCACGTAAGACAACTTTGCTGGACAGTTCAACGACCGTAGTGCTAGACGGACGGCCAGGACAGTTAGTCTAGACAGCCAGGACAGCTAGTCTAGACGGAAAGGATAGCTAGTCTAGACGGCCAGGACAGCTAGTCTAGACGGAAAGGACAGCTAGTCTAGACGGAAAGGACAGCTAGTCTAGACGGCCAGGACAGCTAGTCTAGATGGCCAGGACAGCTAGTCTAGACGGAAAGGACAGTTAGTCTAGACGGCCAGGACAGCTAGTCTAGACGGGCTAGTCTAGACGGCCAGGACAGCTAGTCTAGACGGAAAGGACAGCTAGTCTAGACGGAAAGGACAGCTAGTCTAGACGGCCAGGACAGCTAGTCTAGACGGAAAGGACAGCTAGTCTAGACGGAAAGGACAGCTAGTCTAGACGGAAAGGACAGCTAGTCTAGACGGAAAGGACAGCTAGTCTAGACGGCCAGGGCAACTTGTCTAGGCAGCCATAGTAGCTACTCTAGACGGCCAGGATAACAGTGGATGTTCCTCTAACCTGTTCTTCCTCTGACATGTTCTCGGCATGTGTAAATCTAATTCTTTTTTATGGGATCACGTGTAGGTGGCATGCAGGTTTATTACAGGGATTTACTTACCTGTAAACAACATGCAGGTTAATCTCCGGGTTTTAGGAAGCGAGTATATCTTGTTCTTTAAAATGAAAACTATATTATTTTAACTTTTTTTTTAAATTTATGATTAAATAGAGTATCTTCCCCTTGATATAAATAGCATAAAAAGAACATCCACTTTACAAAAAAACTTCATTTCAAAAGCATTTGGAAAATTTAAGCAATTACACGAATAAATAAAAACTTTTAATTTGAATTTAAACATACGAACGTTATGCCGCTTAATTGTGTTGATTGCCAGATGAATTTAATGAGTAATTAACTTGGCAGTCGACGTCATGCCCACCAACATGCAGATGGCTGTAAAACGCCGGAGACTCGACCAAATTTGAACGCGGCGGCCTCCACCCAACTCGACCAAATTTGAACGCGGCGGCCTCCACCCAACTCGACCAAATTTGAACGCGGCGGCCTCCACCCAACTCGACCAAATTTGAACGCGGCGGCCTCCACCCAACTCGACCAAATTTGAACGCGGCGGCCTCCACCCAACTCGACCAAATTTGAACGCGGCGGCCTCCACCCAACTCGACCAAATTTGAACGCGGCGGCCTCCACCCAACTCGACCAAATTTGAACGCGGCGGCCTCCACCCAACTCGACCAAATTTGAACGCGGCGGCCTCCACCCAACTCGACCAAATTTGAACGCGGCGGCCTCCACCCAACTCGACCAAATTTGAACGCGGCGGCCTCCACCCAACTCGACCAAATTTGAACGCGGCGGCCTCCACCCAACTCGACCAAATTTGAACGCGGCGGCCTCCACCCAACTCGACCAAATTTTAACGCGGCGGCCTCCACCCAACTCGACCAAATTTGAACGCGGCGGCCTCCACCCAACTCGACCAAATTTTAACGCGGCGGCCTCCACCCAACTCGACCAAATTTTAACGCGGCGGCCTCCAGCCATCTCACCATGCCAGTAAATCAGCCCGAACTAGTCGCGTCTTCCCTCCGTGCCCAGCGCTCCGTAAAGTCGTGGATCTTGGTCGATGACCACAGCTTGACAACTGGATGTTTGGAATACAGGGTCTGTCCAGTTAAACCAAACTACAGGGTCTATTCAGTTCAGCCAAACTACCGTCCCCACATCCCCCCCCCTTACGTCAAATACATACCCGGGTACACCCCATCTCTTAAACTACACTTGCCGCCGTTAAGGGGGGAGGGGTGTTCTTTTCCCCGCTCCGACGAAGAAGTGCCGTAGCCATCAGATTTATACTCATCAGATCTGTGTGGATAGATTGGGGCCACTCTACGAGCGGGAGATTTATGGGCCAGGGGGGTGGGAGGGGAGGGTGTCTCAGTTTCATTCAGCGCCGCTTGATTCATTCGGTTAAATCATATGTTTGGCTAGTCAGCAACACAAGGTGCTAGTAAATCTCGCCGTCTGTGTGTCGTCTGCTCGGCCGTCCATTCTGTCAGTCGTGTGCTCGGCCGTCCATTCTGTGAGTCGTCTGCCCGGCCGTCCATTCTGTGAGTCGTCTGCCCGGCCGTCCATTCTGTGAGTCGTGTGCTCGGCCGTCCATTCTGTGCTATTGATTCCGCAGACCGGAAATGCCAGAATGTGCCGGGAGTTCCAAGAAAAAAATTATCTGCGTACGTCACATACTGGCGTTGGAGTGGGGGAGGGGGAGCTTAATTAACAAGGGTGAGGAGAGTTAGGTCAAATACTGATGTTGATTTTACACTATGGGGAAGGGGGGGAGGGCTTTATTAACCATAAGAGGAGGGAGTTAAGTGAAAGCTGGTATTTTGGTTTCTGGGTGTATATACATTATATATATATATATATATATATATATATATATATATATATATATATATATATATATATATATATATATATATATATATATATATATATATATATATATATATATATATTACATTTGGGGGAAGAGAGAGTACAAAGTACTTAGTGAAATTGAAGACGGGCTCGCTAATGGTTGATAACACTTGAATGTTTAGACATAACTCCAGGTATTTATTGGCAAACATTTACTAATATTTCTTAACGAAAACATTATGTCTGACAACACGTCACTTACAATGTTGGCTGGGAAATCAATATCTTATTTTTTTGCCCACGTGATACACGCGAAAGTTGACGTTACGTCACACGGAAATAGACGGACGTCAGTCGGCGAAAGTTGGGACGTCATATCTTGTCCTACTTTGTTAGACACGATTTGATTGGGTCATTTATTTTTCTTTAATCCGCTCATTCACACACAAAAACGGGGGTTATTTCATCAAACTTAACCCCCCACCCCTCTTTTTCAGTGTTTACTTTTTACTTGAAGAAGCAGTGTGGGATAGGGACGTATATGTCATGTTAGAGTCGTGACGTAATTGTCACATAAGGACAGAATCTATCACATCAGGGGCAGTAACTTGCCTGTGTGTAAAGGGACAGTATCGAACTCAGGCAACACCCACGACCTGCCGTCCCCCCTCCCTTCCAGGCCCCACAAAACCTTATGGCGAGCCTCAAAGCTTTGTTGAAAAACGTGTTGATAAATTGTTGATGAAATGTTGATCTAGCTCAAAAGGTTGACGAATGAGGCCATGGGCTATTTATAAACTTGTCCACGTCTTTAGACCAGCGTCCAACAAGAGACCAGCCCCGAGCAAACATGAATGAATCTGTTGTTTAAGCCTTACCCACGGGCTGGTGAGTGACTGGACCCCTACCCAGGGGCTGGCGAGTGAGTGGGCCCAGGTCTCGAACTAACATTTACGTCTGGCGTTCTTTGTTTAACTAACATCAGATGACAGACAGAGGCCTACAGCCGACATTAGGAATGGACATTTTTCAATGTAGCTACATTTCTTAGCGACACAATAGCATCGGTCTAAGAACTCACATACTGGGTGATTTCCCTTTCCCTGGGTGATTTCCCTTTGACTGAGTGACAATATTTAGACAGGTGATAAGAGCGACAATCTTATAACTGATCTAATGTAGGACTGGTACTACGGTGACGACAGTACTGACCGTACATCTGACCTTTTAGCTGACCAGTTAGCGTTCTATCTGTCTGTCTCTCTGTCTGGTCTGGTGTGTCCACCAATCGCCTCGTGTCTTACCTGTACAGGAGTGGACAGACAAAAAACTCACCTGGCTAGCGGCGGAGTACGGGGGCGTTGACCACCTGTACGTGCCCTCTGAGCACATCTGGCTCCCGGACATCGTGCTTTACAATAAGTAAGTTCCACCAGCAGCGGTGGATGGCTCCACCAGCAGCGGTGGATTGCTCCACCAGCGGCGGTGGATGGCTCCACCAGCGGCGGTGGATTGCTCCACCAGCGGCGGTGGATGGCTCCACCAGCGGCGGTGGATGGCTCCACCAGCGGCGGTGGATGTCTCCACCAACTGTGAGTTGATGGCTCCACCAATTAGTAAGTGGATGGCTCCACCAGCAGCGGTGGATTGCTCCACCAGCGGCGGTGGATGGCTCCACCAGCGGCGGTGGATGGCTCCACCAGCGGCGGTGGATGGCTCCACCAGCGGCGGTGGATGGCTCCACCAGCGGCGGTGGATGGCTCCACCAGCGGCGGTGGATGGCTCCACCAACTGTGAGTGGATGGCTCCACCAACTGTGAGTGGATGGCTCCACCAGCGGCGGTGGATGGCTCCACCAGCGGCGGTGGATGGCTCCATTGCCAGCTGGTCAGCTAGACCCGTTTGTTAGCTGGGACCTGAAGCTAGCACTCAGGGTCTAGCTGCAGCTACCAGGATCTAGCTGCAGCTACCAGGATCTAGCTGCAGCTAGCGAACATCCGGCTGTAGGACCCTCCCCTAGACCGTGGTTCATGTCGTAGCCCCAGACTTTGATGTTAGCACCGCTAAAGCACCCAGCACCTCCATGTTGTCTGCTCATTGTTTGCTTGCACTCATCTGCAGAATTAGATTTTACTATAGCCGCTTCTCACTACATCCTGCCACTACATGCCACACTCCGCCACTACATGCCACACTCCGCCACTACATGCCACACTTCGCCACTACTAGCCACACTCCGCCACTACATGCTACACTCCGCCACTGCCCGCTACACTACGCCACTGCCCGCTACACTCCGCCACTACACCGAGCAGCAAATGAACTTATTACATTCCCTCCCCCTCCCCCTAAGTTAACTGATTAATTTAATGACGTCATGTTGACACAATCTTGCACGTCCCGGGGCCTTACACCCCCCCCCCCCACCCCCACCCCCCCCCCCCCCCCCACCCCCAGAGTCGGCCACTGCTTAACCAGTTTGATACAAATCATCAAGCCACAGGTTAACACGATCTCAATTCCAACTCAGGAACTGACAAAACAGGTCATAGTTAATTATTGCTCCCCCCCCTCCCCCCCCCCCTACCATTCCAACGTTCAGCTAGTTCCCTACTGAGAATGTTTTTCCAATCAAAATTGTTCACATAAAAAAGTTGCCGTGGTGTCTTCAAGTACTCACCCAGCAAGTTAAACAGCTCACACCTCCGTTAAGACTAGACTAGCAGAAGACATTGTTCATCGAAATTTATTAAACAGCGGTGCAACTCCTTTTTTATTCTGACATCACCAACATTCACGCTACCATATCTAATTAGGCTACCGAATATTTCGTGGCTACCGACGTTTACTTTACATTCTATAATATCATAAAATATAGCTTAAATTTTTTGAATGACTGGCCCCGATATTTTCCTGTCAGTACTGTTTTCCAACTCTTAACATAAATTATGCACAAAGTGATCGGTTAATGCAATGTAGGTTATCATGTCACCTTAGCCTGTAAATACACTACAGTAGATAAAAGTGCCTCATGCCGCATCAGATTTGAGATACATAACATTGTATAGATGCTTATGCTTAATTCGACCTAGGACGAACCTAGGACGAACTTAGGACGAACCTAGGACGAACCTGGGATTAAACCCGGGACTAACCTAGGACGACGAACCTAGGGCTAACCTAGGACGAACCTAGGACGAACCTGGGACGAACCTGGGATACTTGGCTGAATGTTTCCATGTTGTACATCCAATCACCTGCATGTTTTTGCATGTCTAATGTCACCTCAAAACCTGCATGCCACATGTCACGTTAGGGATCTTTGTGTCACGTGAGTGGATCTTTGTGTCACGTTAGGGATCTTTGTGTCACGTGAGTGGATCTTTGTGTCACGTTAGGGATCTTGGTGTCACGTTAGGGATCTTTGTGTCACGTTAGGGATCTTTGTGTCACGTTAGGAATCTTGGTGTCACGTTTAGGGATCTTTGTGTCACGTTAGGAATCTTGGTGTCACGTTTAGGGATCTTTGTGTCACGTTAGGAATCTTGGTGTCACGTTTAGGGATCTCTATGCTACGTGCAATGTAGCAAATGTTATGCTTATTATCACGCAATTATTTCACGATTTATTTCTAATGTAGTTACTAGATACGGTCTCAATGACTAACTTATTTTAGCCAATATTGCAGTAGTGGCTGTATAACTATGGCTGATTGTCTTTAAATGTATAAACCAATTTTCATGATGGGCATTTGCATGTAATGACGTCTTTTGTCATGCCCAGTTTCACAAGTTGAGCATAAATGATGGAATACAATCCAAATATCAACAATTATGTGACCTCCCAAATATCATATCAACCTGACTGAATGTCATGACACACCTCCCAAATGTCATATTGACCTGACTGAATGTCATGACCCACCTGCCAAAAGTCATATTAACCTGACTGAATGTCATGACCCACCTTCCAAATGTCATATTAACCTGACTGAATGTCATGACGCACCTGCCAAATGTCACATCAACCTGACTGAATGTCATGAGACACCTGCCAAATGTCATGTGTTTCTGTCAAGGAGTGGGAGGACATGAACCTGCGCTGGATGGCCAGAGAGTATGCCGGCATTGACGAACTGTTGGTGCCGTCAGAGGACATCTGGAGGCCGGACCTGGTCCTCTTCAACAAGTGAGTCTTTCTGCCTGGGGTGGGAACATGGTCTTTCTGCCTGGGGTGGGAACATGGTCTTTCTGCCTGGGCTGGGAACCAGGTCTTTCTGCCTGGGGTGGGAACCAGGTCTTTCTGCCTGGGGTGGGAACATGGTCTTTCTGCCTGGGGTGGGAACATGGTCTTTCTGCCTGGGCTGGGAACCAGGTCTTTCTGTCTGGGCTGGGAACCAGGTCTTTCTGTCTGGGGTGGGAACCAAGTCTTTCTGCCTGGGGGAACCAGGTATTTCTGGGAACCAAGTCTTTCTGCTTGGGGTGGGAACCAAGTCTTTCTGCCTGGGGTGGGAACCAGGTCTTTCTGCCTGGGGTGGGAACCAGGTCTTTCTGCCTGGGCTGGGAACCAGGTCTTTCTGTCTGGGGTGGGAACCAAGTCTTTCTGCCTGGGGGAACCAGGTATTTCTGGGAACCAAGTCTTTCTGCTTGGGTGGGAACCAGGTCTTTCTGCCTGGGGTGGAAACCAGGTCTTTCTCTGGGGCGGGAACCAGGTCTTTCTGCCTGGGGTGGGAACCAGGTCTTTCTGCCTGGGGGAACCAGGTATTTCTGGGAACCAAGTCTTTCTGCTTGGGGTGGGAACCAAGTCTTTCTGCCTGGAGTGGGAACCAGGTCTTTCTCTGGGGTGGGAACCAGGTCTTTCTGCCTGGGGTGGGAACCAGGTCTTTCTGCCTGGGGTGGGAACCAGGTCTTTCTGGACACCAAGTCTTTCTGGGTACCAGGTCTTTCTGCCTGGGGTGGGAACAAGTCTTTCTGCCTGGGGTGGGAACCAGGTCTTTCTGGGAACCAGGTCTTTCTGGGAACCAAGTCTTTCTGTCTGGGGTGGGAACCAGATCTTTCTGCCTGGGATGGGAACCAAGTCTTTCTGCCTGGGATGGGAACCAGGTCTTTCTGCCTGGGATGGGAACCAGGTCTTTCTCTGGGGTGGGAACCAGGTCTTTCTGCCTGGGGTGGGAACCAGGTCTTTCTGCCTGGGGGAACCAGGTATTTCTGGGAACCAAGTCTTTCTGCTTGGGGTGGGAACCAAGTCTTTCTGCCTGGGGTGGGAACCAGGTCTTTCTGGGAACTAGGTCTTTCTGGGAACCAGGTCTTTCTGCCTGGGATGGGAACCAGGTCTTTCTGCCTGGGGTGGGAACCTGGTCTTTCTGCCTGTGGTGGGAACCAAGTCTTTCTGGGAACCAGGTCTTTCTGGGAACCAGGTCTTTCTGCCTGGGATGGGAACCAGGTCTTTCTGCCTGGGGTGGGAACCTGGTCTTTCTGCCTGGGGTGGGAACCAAGTCTTTCTGGGAACCAAGTCTTTCTGGGAACCAAGTCTTTCTGCCTGGTTTGGGAACCAAGTCTTTCTGCCTGGGTTGGGAACCAAGTCTTTCTGCCCGGGGTGGGACCAGGTCTTTCTGTCGTGGGAGGGAACTAAGTCTTTCTGCCTGGGTTGGGAAAATACAATATGAGACACCTAGTACTGACCTACCTACCTATTTTTGGTGCCCTGTGTGCATGACTGGGTGACGGTATTCCTACCTGCTTATAAACAAGACTAACCTTAGAACACTCTCCACAAAGTTTCCATTTTATGCTTTATTTCTTGTGCGTCTTAACCTCCGAGTAACATTATAATCCTTAAACAACGACAAAAAAATGACATTTCAAATGTGGCAAGTCACTACTGGTTATAGAGGCTAGGAATGCACCTGGCCACTCACCTGAGCACACCCCCAGGTCAAGCTACCCCCTCCCCATGTTTCCTGGTCCCAGCATGGTCATCAATAAATTACGTCACGCTACACAGATAATGGGAGTGGAACTCTAATAAATGGGGAGGTGGGATTTCAGGAAAACATAGATTTGTATACTTAATGGAGGTGGGATTACAGGAAAACATTGATTTGTATACTTAATGGAGGTGGGATTTCAGGAAAACATAGATTTGTATACTTAATGAAGGTGGGATTTCAGGAAAACATAGATTTGTATGCTTAATGGAGGTGGGATTTCAGAAGGAAAAAAATAGATTTATATGCCTAATGCAGATAGTGCTCAGAATTTCTGAAAAATAATTGTTTCAAATACAACAAAAATTGCAGTTAGTAACAATGCGTGACGTCATTAAAGAATGGTTTAAATTCGTGTAACAATGAGTGACGAAGGGGAGAGGGTGGTGTGGTCGGTACAAAAAAAAAAGCTTGTTGGATTTTATAGACTCTGACCCAGAATGGCAGCTGATATCCCATGATTCAAACATCCATCACCCCTTGTTTACCTAGCGCCACCTATCCTACCCAGTTTTTTGACGCAACACATTTTATAGCGCAACAACACTTTTATCAACCCCCCCCCCCCCCAAAATAAAACTCAGCCATCTTGTTTTGATATTTTCCCTACAAACTGTTTTTCTATTGGCGAAAATAAAAGTTTTATTTCTATTGGCTAACGTCAACATGGCGGCTCTTTGTTTATGTTTATGCGCTATTTATAGCATTGTTAACAACACCTCAATGTATTCATATTGCTTGCTTTGGTGCGACACTCTCTTCACATTAATGTTATGTGTTGTGCTATTGCTTTTAATGTTGATGTTATGTTAATATTGATGTTTTGTATTGTGGAAATGCCTTTAATATTGTTGATGTTTTATGTCATTGCTTTTAATATTGATTTTTTTTTGTGGAAATGCTTTTAATATTGGTGTTTTGTATTGTTGAAATGCTTTAAAATGATGTTTTGCATGATAATCAAATATGTATAATTAAAGCTCATAATGATTGTGATAACACTAATTAATCTAACTTTAATTATATATTTGTTCTTTGTTAACACCTCAATCTACTATAGAATTCAAAAATTTGTTTTCATTTTTACTACAAATAAATATATTAGCCATCATTTATTTAATCAGATTTTAAAAAATCAAAAATGTAATTAATTGAATAAAGTCAATGCTCCAGCTTGGATTCGAACCTGCACTGTTTGTAATGACTAAGATAACCAACGGTTTTCTTACAGCGCAGATGGCAACTACGAGGTGACCCTTATGACGAAAGCGACGATTCACTCCAACGGCCACGTGGTGTGGGAACCCCCTGCCATCTACAAAAGTTCGTGCACCATTGATGTGGAGTTCTTTCCCTTCGACGAGCAAAGGTCTGTAGCCAACAGTTAACCCAAAGCCGGACCCCTTATATTTTGTGGTACACTTAAGCTAGGCCTTGAAAATTCTAAGGAATCCTAAAACTAGAAACCTGACATTCCAAGATATCCTTCAGCTAAACCTTTAACATTCTAAGATATCCTTAAATTATATCCTTAAAATTCTAATTTAACCTGACGTTAGGTTCCTAACCTACATCTCTTGTTAGACGTTTTATCTGTGATTTACATCGATAAAAATTAATTAATTTAGATTTTGTATTTAGCGTTAGTTTAGCCATTCTTAAAGAGATAAATGCCTTGATTTAAAATCTTGACTCATGAGTAGCCAACAATAACCCTAACCTGGTCTCAACATTCTCAAAACCCAGTAGCTCTAACCGACATTGTCTCAAAATCCCTAACACCAAAACAACTTCTAGTTACCTTGATAATACAGCTTTTGGAGAAATCGAATCCCTAAGTTGCAAAAATAGCTTTTTAAAAGTTGGTCAAATGATCCTTTTTTCCCCCATAGTTTATTTTTGAATAGACCATACTGTCTCCTGACGTGAGAAAGACCACATTGTCGCATAGTTTAACGCGAGAATGACCAAATTCCCCCATAGTTTAACGAGAGAAAGACCACATTCCCCCTTAGTTTAATGAGAGAATGACCCCATTCCTCCATAGTTTAACATGAGAAGGACCACATTCCCCCATAGTTTAATGAGAGAATTACCCCATTTCCCCATAGTTTAACATGAGAAGGACCACATTCCCCCATAGTTTAACATGAGAAGGACCACATTCCCCCATAGTTTAACGAAAGAATGACCACATTTCCCCATAGTTTATCGTGAAATAGGCCACACTGTCTTTGAGTTTAACTTGATTTGCTGGATAAAACGTTTAAAAAATGTGCTCAAAATGGCGCAGACATTTCCATAACAATCGGGAACTGCGTGTTATTTGCTGCTGTTCTATTGTCCCAACTCTCTAATTTTGCTCTAAATTTGATGTTAGCACATGGAAACAAGGTCTCTATTAAGTTGGCGTGCCACGTGACGCAAGTCAGCCCCGCCCCCACTGTGTGGAGAAGAGGGGGGGGGAAGTATCCCACGTATTAAACCCTGTTATACACATTAAATGTGTGGAGGGAACAAAAACCACAAATAGCTCACATTATGTGGACCCGTTGCTTAACTCTTGTGTTTATACAATGCCTGCAACTTGCACATGCAATCTTTGAACCAGGGGTCGATTGGTTAGACAGGGGTCGATTGGTTAGCCAGGGGTCGACTGGTTAGCCAGGGGTCGATTGGTTAGATAGGGGTCGACTGGTTAGCCAGGGGTCGATTGGTTAGCCAGGGATCGAGTGGTTAGCCAGGGATCTACTGGTTAGCCAGGAATTGGTCAATGTTTTGCTAGATGTAGGTCAATATAGTAGTCAAGGGTACTGTAATATGTTAATTGGGGGGGGGGCAGTTAATAATTTTAAAACTTGGTAGGTTAAAATTTTAAATTAGAGGTATCTCAATATTTTTAAGGGATCTTTCAATATTTTAGTCAGGGGTCGGGCACTATTTTAGCCAGGGGTCAATATTTTAGCCAGGGGTCAATATTTTAGCCACAGATTAAGTTCAATCATGATGCCATTAACCTAGCCCATTATCAGTGTTTAGACTAAGTTCATAACATTACAGAACACGGGAACTGCCGTGACAGGAGACTTAGAGAATGTAGATTGTCTCTCTTTTAACCATTACCCCGACCCTAACCCAACAAACCAAAACATTAAACATTGCTGTAACTGAAATGTGCATGCACCGTCTGTGACCAACTGTAGCTATACATTGCAATTACTTGCAACACCGCCCTCGGTCTTTAGACAAACGTCGCCCACATCTGCCACTTTCACAACACCTTGCACAAAGAAGCAATTTATTTTTCGCGGACAAAAGACAAGAAAAAATCCATGGCTTTGATATCAGTGTAATACAGAAAGGTGATCAGAGTGCAGATATTGTGCACCTTTTAGTTCTGTAAGAACTGGCATCATTTGGTGGAGGTGGGGCATTAGTGCCACCTAGGGCGTATGTGGCTGTGTGGCATTATTGTTATCTAGGGGTGTGTGGTTGTGACATTTTTTTATATATATGGCGTGTGGATGTGTGGCATTATTGTTATCTAGGGGCGTGTGGTTATGTGGCATTATTGTTATCTAGGGGTGTGTGGTTGTGTAGGAAATGTGGTTTTGTGGCATTATTGTTATCTAGGGGCGTGTGGTTGTGTGGCATTATAGTTATCTATGGGTGTGTGGTTGTGTAGGAAATGTGGTTGTGTGGCGTTATTGTTATCTAGGGGCGTGTGGTTGTGTGGCGTTATTGTTATCTAGGGGTGTGTGGTTGTGTAGCATAATTGTTATCTAGGTGCGTGTGGTTGTGTGGCATTATTGTTATCTAGGTGTGTGTGATTATGTGGCGTTATTGTTATCTAGGGGCGGGTGATTGTGTGGGGCGTGTGGTTGTGTGGCACTATTGTTAACTAGGTGTGTGTGGTTATGTGGCGTTATTGTTATCTAGGGGCGGGTGATTGTGTGGGGCGTGTGGTTGTGTGGCACTATTGTTAACTAGGTGTGTGTGGTTATGTGGCGTTATTGTTATCTAGGGGCGGGTGGGTGCGGGTATAGGCGTGAAGTTTCTTTGGTGCCAGACTGCTGGCAACGTACGGGTTCCGGTCCAGCGGAGGCCGAGTGGTCTGTTGGACGGGCATCATGTCTCGTGCATTGACGTCCTTGACCTGTGACCCTCGGGTCAGCTGGTTCACATCCAGGGTCAGCTCGTGCTCCACCTGCCTTTTCCCTGGTTAAAGAAACAAACGCAATGCTTAAAACTTTAACTCGCTTTGTATCATATTGACTACACGCTATTTCATCACTTGATGATCTTTATAATACACTTTATGATACTTAAGGGTATGATAATACGTTTTCTTGAAATTATAATATAATATGATATTACTTCCGGTTTTATAATGCCTATCGTTAGATGGTTATATGACATAATGGTGACGTGTGGAAGATGGTTGAATGACATAATGGTGACGTGTGGAAGATGGTTGAATGACATAATGGTGACGTGTGGAAGATGGTTGAATGACATAATGGTGACGTGTGGAAGATGGTTGAATGACATAATGATGACGAGGATAAGAGGGTAGGATGACGAAATGGTGACGTGCGTAAGATGAAATCCCCACTTGCCTGTGTGTTGCCTGTTGGGGTATGTGACGTCAGATGACGCGTTATGTGACGCCGACCCTGCGGTGCTCGTGTCACCAGACGACAGCGTGGAACTCTGGGACATCCGGTCTGTGGAACTCTGGGAACGGCTTCCAGAAAAGCTGCTCACTAGGGAAGATTTTTTCTTTCTTTTACCTGCTGGTGGCTTCGTCGTGGGCTTCGTTTCGTCATCTTTGACGTCACTTCCTGTGGTTTCGCTAGTATAAGTTGTGGTCATATCTGAAGTCGGCCGGGTACCACTACTTCCGGTAGTCGATGTTGTTGTCGTCCTTGTAGTCTCGGATTCTTCCTTCGACTTTGTCGTTGTTTCGGTGGTGGACGTCTCGGTGGAGGTTTTGGTCTTGGAGGTCGTGACCTCGGAGGTCTCCTCGTCCTTGAGCTCAAACACCCCCGCCCCCACATCGTGAGCTTTAGCCCGGGTACGCTTCCACTGCTCAAGTCGGTAGATCATGAAACTTTGAGACTGGTAACGTTTCTCTGTGACCGCCGGCTTAGACGACCTTGCCGTCAATGTCTTTGTTTTCTGGGCCTCCCCCGACCAAAGTCTCGAGAAAAGATTTAGACCTTTCCGGAAAATTCCCGGATTTCCGGTTTGTATCTCGACTGTATGTTTCTGCGGACGGTAAATTGGCTTTAAATGAGGCGGGGGTTTCTGCGGAACTGTCGGCTGCGGCTTAGCCTTTACGCTGCGTCCCAGCTTGAGAACTGGTGCCTCCTTCACCGTGGATTTGCCTGTGCTGGCTGATGTCGTAGACGTGGACTCGTCTTCGGAATCCGTGGTTCTGGTCTCCGATTCGTCGCCTTCGGTTGTTTCCGTATGTAGCTCCGTGCTTTCAGTCGTCGTCTCGTGTTCAGTGTCATCTGCGGTGATGGTTGTAGACGAGCTAGTGGCGAGTACCTCCACACGAGCCTTCTCGCCCTTCTGTTGTCTCGGGGATTCTGGTCCCGCCGTGGGGCGTTGGACTAGAGAGATGGGTGGAATGTAAGGGTCGAGCGGTCTTGTGTTGAGAGCGATCTGACGAAAGTCTGGAGCAAGTGGTCGGATAGCGCGTTCACTTAGTCGAACGTTGGGATCGAAGAGTTGAAAGTCGATAGCGTTGGGTCGTAGATTGGGGGCAGAGTAGGAGCTAATCGGAAAATAGTCTGTGAAGACACCGGATTTATTGCTTGAGAAAGACACACCCGACATAGCCGATGATTCTTCAGGTTGCAACTGGTTTTCCGGTATTTCCGGTTTGACGTCATCAAAAGAGCCGGCTGTGTGAAACAGCTGCTCCTCGTCCTTGAACTTCTCCACGTCCTTAGTCTCGAGACTTTGCAGGTACTCTGCCACCTTGTTGGTCCTCTCGCTATACTTGAGTGGGCGCCGGTTTGGTATCCTGCGGTACCGCCTGCCACCCTGTAGCTTCTCGTACCCCGCCAGACGTTGGATGGCTGACCTTGAGGAATGTTCCATCATCCTACGCCAGATGTAAGGAACCTTGGAGGGGAGTTTACCTGTCTTCCATATCTCATTGACCATCATCTTTCTCCTGTGGTACATGGCCACGGCAGTCAGAAACCACATGGACAGCCCAACGCCAAACACCGTCAGGAATATGATGATTATCTGCAACAAAGGTGTTCACTCACATGCAATCTTACAGTAACATATGTTAATGAATAAACACACATAATTAGATGTTATTCAGAGGAAGAAATTAGGATTTTACTGTAAACACACATATTTTTAGCACTAAAGCCATTTTAAAATAAATTATCGTAATATATTTTCATCATGCAAGTCTGCGTTCAAACCCTTGACACTATGTTAAGATAATCTTCTCTCAGATCCTACAGAGCCCATTAACTGCTTTAGTTCTCCCATACCGTTCACAGGTAGCAAAATATAGCTAACGAGCCGACCCGCAGCGTATCATACGCCGCTATTTAGTTGTTTTTTTCTACTTTTCAGTAATTTATAATTTGTGAATTCGACAGTACCAATGCTGCCACTGAAAAACGCTAACCCCCCCCCCCTCCCCCCACGTAAAAGTAGCCTCCTCTTAGTTACCTCCTCTAAGTTTAAAATCGTTTCAAACTAAATTATCTGCCCCTAATAGCCGTCACCAAACCCGTCTCTATGATTGTAAAATGTAAACAGAGTGAACACCGCTCACCAGATCATGTGGGGGTGGGGTGGGGGTGGTAGTGATAGTGATAGAGAGAAATAGAGGGGACTGCAAAGGCGCGCTTGCAGCTTGTTTTCTAACTGATCCCAGAAGAGAATTATATATATAGATAATGTATGCAAATGTATCGCTTTATTTGTCCATGCTACTATGTTTCACTTATAAGGTAAAACAAATCTGTCACTGTAGCCACCTATAAATAACCCCGTTACACGTGTAAGGTAAAGCACGGATGATGAAAGCAATACCTGGTCTGTGGAGAGGTCCGTGTCGAAGAAATCCCCGTGGGTCTGGGGACTGGCCCTGACCTTCTCGCAGAACGGCCCGTCCATGTCCCAGATGCAGCGGTCACAGTGTCCAGAGAATGGGCTGCAGACCCTCATGTAGCAGTTGGCGCTGCAGTTCCTCTCGCAGTTCGCACTATACCTGCCTGCCGGGCACTGCCGGTCACACAGCTCACCTTCAAAACCGGAAATACACCCGTCAATACAGGCACCGGTCACGTGATCGCACTGACCGTCCCCTGCACATGTAGCCGGACACTGGGCCAGGCAGTCGGCGCCGTAGGTTCCGTTTGGACACTTCCGCTGGCAGAAGACGTTAAAGTACCCGGGCTTGCATCCTCGCAGACATTTCCCAGACTTGTAATCGCACTCGTGGTCAACGCAGTTGTGGGAACAAATCTTCTGGCAGCTGGGGCCGTACTTGCCTGTGGAACATTTCTTGCTGCACATTTCTCCCTCGTACCCGGCGCTACACTGGAAGCAGATCCCAGACTCAGACATGCAGATGTTGTGGTGGCAGTTGACGGGACACTGTAGCTGACAGGTGTGGCCGAACGTCCCGGCCTCGCAGTGCCTGCAGTAGCCAGTCGTGTCGAAACAATCTCCGTCACATTCGCTGGAACATGGGGTCTCACATTTTGGTCCGTAGTACCCCGGGACACACTGGCGACACATGCGGAGACTGGAACAGTTGGAGGAGACACACACACCTGCACAGGTGTCCAAACAGGTGTTGTTATTGGGCTGGGTCAGGCAGTTCAGGCAGGCGGCAGTTAAGTTCATGTTCATGCCGCAGGTGAACAGGCAGTGGTTGTTGAGTTTGTGGCACGTGAGTTGTGAGCACGAGCAGCCAGGCGTGACAGCTGAGCAGTCGTCACGCTCCACTTGGTTGTCACAGTCGGTCATGCATTGCGTCATAGCAGAACATTCTAGACCGTCTTGGTTTAAAGCCTGTACGGCGAGAGTCAACCCCAGCAGCAAGAAAGTTGCTAGAACTGGCCAGCTTTTGGCATCACAGGATTCCGCCATTGTGCGCCTGATACAAGCGTTCATTGGTGGTTTAAAAAAGTGCTATCTGCGTGAAAATGGTGCACATCTTGGCATGGTAAAATTTAAAAGATCCTTAGGCAAAGTATTTTAAATTTTAATGGTATAGTATGAAAAGCTGACTTAAAACTGAAATGTTGATCTAGCGGTACATGAAACTTTACAAAACTTTACTTTAATAAACCTAAACAATTCTCGGCCAGCTCACACATTGAGATCTAACCGCGAATTAACTAAGTTCACGTTTAGTTTGTTTTGTTTGGGATTATCATTAAAAAGTTAGAGCACACACACACACACACACACACACACACACACACTCACTCACTCACTAACTCACTCACTCACTAAACTCTGTTTATAATTATTTCTGCCTATCTGTCATGTTTAGCAGCCACAGAAACCTTGCTTTGATCGTTATTTAATTGTCTGTTGAAACTATAATTCAATTAAAACCTGTTTTTAACTTATGTTGAGGTCCAGCTTTAATACTAAACTGAAATTTGCCCAGAAATGCTTTTAATCTCTTTTTTTGTTTCTTACAACTAATTTTTTTTATAAACTAATTCGTATGAAAACAAATATTTTATGTAGATTTATTTTATTTTTAATATTATTATGAAGAGACTTTCCTTAGCGCATACCCACGTGTTGTATGATCCAACCATTCTGTTTTTATTCTCCGGTCACCAGGTGCAAGATGAAGTTCGGATCTTGGACCTACGACGGCGACCAGGTCGACCTTGTCCACATCTGCGCCAAAACCAACGAAGCCAACGTCACCATCAAAAACGGCATCGACCTGCGCGACTTCTACCCGAGCGTGGAGTGGGACATCCTGGAGGTGGACGCCGTCAAGAACATCCGCATGTACCCGTGCTGCAGCGAGCGGTACCCGGACATCACATTCAGCGTGCGCATGCGCCGTAAGACCCTGTTCCACACCGTCAACCTGATCATCCCCTGCGTGGCCATCTCGTGCTTGACGGTGCTGGTGTTCTACCTGCCCTCCGACAGCGGGGAGAAGATCACTCTCTGTATCTCCATCCTCCTGTCTCTCACTGTCTTCTTCCTCCTCCTGGCAGAGATCATCCCTCCCACCTCTATCGTCGTCCCTCTCATCGGGAAATACCTCCTCTTTACCATGATCCTTGTAACTCTCTCCATCATCGTCACTGTTATCGTACTCAACGTCCACTTCCGGTCACCGGCTACACACAGCATGTCCCCCTGGGTGAGGCGGGTGTTTCTCAGCATCCTACCGCGGCTGCTCGTTATGCGCCGGCCGCATCAAGAACCGGAAGAACCAGTTTCGCCGAAGAAGGTTGTGATACGAACATGTAACGGACTCGATATCCGTAACCAGGCGGAGGATCTGAGGTCAAGGTCACAGGTCGGGTATGGTTACGAGGAAAAGGTGTCGCCCAGGTTACGTCGACCGCATAACATGGAGGAACTTTTGAGCATGGAGTTGGGGGACGACAGCCCCGGTGCCGTGCGGCGCGCCAGGTATTCCAAGGAGATCATGGACGCCATCGACTCGGTGACTTTCATAGCCGAGCATTTAAAGAACGAGGACAGGGATTCGTCGGTAAGTAGTTCAGGACACGCCTTATTCTTTGTTGTTTAACGACCCCTTCGTCTGTTTTTTGACCCCTTGTATGTGTCATAACTTCTCGCCAGTCTCATAACCCCTTGTGTGTAAAGACCCCCTCTTTATGTCTGCTTTACAATATCTCTTCTCTAAATCTCTGACACTCATTCTCTCAACTTCAAGACACCAATCTGTCTGCTTCAAGATCCCCCATGTTTTCTATTTAATGACCCCTTTTCACCATTACAGTTGTATCGTGTTGTTTCGTGTGTAAAAATATTTAGTTTTTTTAAATTAACCATTTTAAAAATTTGGCTTATATCTTCTAATTTGAAAAAAAAATTAGTATAAATTTAACAAATTGTTCATGTTTATTTATGTTTACAGTTGTATGTTGTAACCCATCGCTTAGTATAATGTAAATGTTAGTTTGCACTTTTATTCCTATTTGCTACAGTTAGTAAAACAGTACAATAATAAATATTTTTCACTGATTTTTATAGCTTAAATGACCAACAATAAAATCAATTTGAAAATACAAACCAATAATCGAAACCTAACAGATATAGCGAAAACGTTTCGACCTTTGGTCTCCGCCAGATTAGCTTTGAAGACGTAAATAGGCTACATTTAATGCAAATAATTTAAAATGGGAAAGCTAAACAACATAATAAACATTTTCTTCAGGTTTTCGATACTATCTTCAGTCTCACCAAGCTCTAAACATATAGCTCCAACTGAACATCCAACGGGAAATTATAAATTATAATTAGCCCCTACGTACACCTAGCTATTAATTATAATTAGCTCAGTTAAGAAAGCCAGTAATTAATATTTAATTAATTCCATCATAAACAGGCCCACATTACCCCCAGACTGGTTGATGGTGTTTGTAAATCTGATGAATACCTTCGGTCGAAACGTCAATACCACGTTCCTATCACGCTAGGATCACGCTATAACCACGTTATAATCACGCTACGATCACGTTAACATTACATTATATGTTAACTTCACGCTAGAATCACTTTGATATCACTATTTTATGCACGTTTGTAACAATGTCCCTTTCGAACCTGACAGTCCATGAGGCAGATAAAGTAGAGTTCACCTGTTTCTGCGACCTCGGCATATGAATGGGTAGTGTGGTCAGCACTATGCCCAGCCGCCTTTACTTTCCCTAACGTGAGTTAGGTATCCATCATAGTTGAGTTGTATCGGGAACGTTATACGGATATGAACTGGGATTCGAACTCAAGACTTTCGCGTTAGCACGTCCTATCATTCACACTTGTGTCAGCTATAATTACGATAATATAATTAGGTTAGAATCGCGCTATAATTATGCTATATTTAGTTAGGATCATGGTACAATCACGTTATGATCACGCTATAATTATGCTATATTTAGTTAGGATCACGATACAATCACGTTAGGATCACGCTATACTCATGCAGGAATCACGCTATAATCACGCCGATGAGAGCCGAATGGGATAATGGCTGTTATCGCCGACCAACGATGTGCCATTGGATCTTGTTAACAGAATCCTACGAGGTCATCAGCCCGGGGGGTAGGGTAGGTTCACATGGGGGGGTGGGGAATTGGGGACTAGTCTAGTCCAGGCAATCAGGAACACCTAGCGAAAACGAGGCTATGGGGCCGAAATTGGTCCTTTAACTTATCTCGCGGCGACTTTAAACCGCGACCCACTAGCCTTCATTACTACAACTACGTCATTCTAATCACAGAAAAAAATGACATGAAAGATAATTCTGACCTTTCATTGGGTTTTCTTATCGACAAGTAGAGTTCTGTTATTTTCGCGCCAATAAAATGTTTAAATATTCCCCCAGGCGACCTTTCATTGTCTGACACCTCAGTACAAAAATCATCATGTGCGGAAATAGACATACATTACATTCTGGGAATATAAAAATAAATTAAACATCTCTTCCAAATTAAGCCAAAAGTCTGTCACTTCAATAAATACATTAATTAATTAATTAAAATTCTCAAACTTTGGTCAAACTAAACTCTGTCATGGAGACGATACCCCACCAATAGTCTGCTTATGCATGTAACTATCTAGAGAGCACGGGAAGTGACGTCACGCTTCCTCCAGCCAGTGTGTAGAAAGCACATTATGAATATTTTAATTTCTCTCTACCAGCTACCGAGGATCTGGCGTCGCAAGTACCCGGTAATTATTTTTTATAGCTCCCTCTTGCATTGACCTTGATCTTAACTAGACACCATGTCTGCTTGCTTTAAAACCTATCCTACTCGTATGGTGCATTAACCTTAACCTTAAGACACCAAATCTGCTTCCATTTAAAGTTTAATACACACATATGGTGCATTAACCTTAACTTTGACCAGATACCAAATCTGCTTGCTTTTAAAATTTAATACACACTCATGGTGCATTAACCTTAACCTTAACGCTGCTTGCTTTAAAACCTATCCTACACCATGGTGCATTACCTTAATCTTAACTTTGCTTTAAAACCTAACCTCCAACATACATGGTGCCTTAAAGCTGCTTGCTTTAAAAATTATTCCCCACACATGGTGCATTAACCTTAACCTTACACCAATTCTGCTTGCTTTAAAACCTACCCCAACAAATATTGCATTCACCTTAACTTCAACTAGTCACCATATTTGCTTGCTTTGAAACTTCTGCTATACACAACGGGGAATGCTGTTTTTTGGCGGGTTTTTTATTACTTTGTTTGTCATACGATATTTTAGTCATATACCACAAAATGTTCTTAGACAAGTATCAAACAAAAAAGTTTAATTATTAGACATACATCACAAAAAAGTTTAATTATTAGACATACATCACAAACCTTGTCATGTGCTATTCTGACATCCTTCAACAATGCCAACATATTAAGTCATTACATTTTGGAGACCACTGTCTGAACGACTACAGCATGAAATTAAAACTGCATGCACATTTAATCAATACTAACTAGATGAATGCATTTTAATTTGATTTGTTTTTTATAAAAACATGTATAAAACCTGATGATTACATTGATGTGTACATCTAAAAAATTGAAAGGTTGCACGAAATTAATGTGTACTTAAATACAACAGTTGTGTTTAGCTTTAGCTTTATACACACCTAAAGTCCATTCATCAAAGACATTTTTTTTCGTAGCTTTCCCATTATCAGACAATATTTTTAATACCTACCCACGCTTTCAAAGACATTTTTTCTAGGCCTACCCACGCTATTAAAGACGTTTTCGCTTTTATTAAAGATATTTTTTAATATTCTCTAAGCTTCACGTTATCAAAGATTGTTCTATTCGTACCATCCCCATTAAGAAATTTGTTTTCATTCCTGTAATAAGTTACACTCTTTTGTTCTTTTCTATTGATGACTGTTTAATCAACCAGCTTTTACACGAAACTATTTTTTATCCCTTTACAAACACCAACACAAAGAATGTTATTGACTTGCCAATACCTGTGTTTTTTATTATTCTAAATTTAGAAAGACAATTTTTCAAGTTTAAAGGTTAAATGGTGTTGTTAAAAGATTTTTTTAATTTAAAACTTTGATCAGCTAACTTTGCTAAATGTAACTTTTTGAAAATTGTTTTATTTTTAATTATACGTTATCGAAACTACTTTTTAAAATTAGTAGTTTTTTTTCAATTTAGGAAATACAGTAGGACTATTATTTAAAATGTTTGCTTTTATTTTAAAAACTCAAATTTAATGCGCTTTGACAAGAGTGTCTTTTATAGTCCGACAATGCAGGATTTAAAAATGTATTTCTAACACAAGTCTGCTCACACAGTGTTTACAAAAGTTTGATTGTAATTTCAAACTGCGCCAAACACGACGGTTTGAAATGCTAATGGCCGCCACGATCGATCCGGTTGAGCGGCCGGCGAGGACCGGCAATATTTGCCGGACCCTTCAGCCGCCCCAATCAATGGGACAAGTTTCTTTCTTCATAGTCGGCTTTCTCACCCCCACACCCACACACCCACACACCCCCAATCAATGGGACAAGTTTCTTTCTTCATAGTCGGCTTTCTCACCCCCACACACCCACACACCCACACACCACACACCCCAATCAATGGGACAAGTTTCTTTTTCATAGTCGGCTTTCTCAACCCCACACACCCACACACCCACACACACACCCACACACCACAATCAATGGGACAAGTTTCTTTCTTCATAGTCGGCTTTCTCACCCCCACACACCCACACACACACCCACACACCACAATCAATGGGACAAGTTTCTTTCTTCATAGTCGGCTTTCTCACCCCCACACACCCACACACACACCCACACACCCCAATCAATGGGACAAGTTTCTGTCTTCATAGTCGGCTTTCTCACCCCCACACACCCACACACACACCCACACACCCCAATCAATGGGACAAGTTTCTTTCTTCATAGTCGGCTTTCTCACCCCCACACACCCACACACCCACACACCCCAATCAATGGGACAAGTTTCTTTCTTCATAGTCGGCTTTCTGACCCCCACACACCACAGATGACACACAATCTCCCACACACAAGTCAGTGAGGTAAATGTTTTGGTTAACTCTACAGTCAAAGTTTGGCTTGCCCTAGAAATAACACAGACAGGCATAAATCCTGAACTCAGTGCACTAAGAACAGGAAGTTCTATCTCACACATCCACACAATCTCACACACCCACACATCTACAATTTCACACAGCCACACAGCTACACGACCACACACCACATCACCACTGCAGAAATGCTGTCTTTGATCAGCCACTGATTCTGTTTTGCCCCAAAACTTCAGCCATTGCCGACCACACTATCAGCTGTGAGCAATGGGCCTCTAATAAAGTTGTATATATTTATAGACAGCATCAAAGCACAAATCTTGACGCCCCTCGACCCCCCCACCCCACCCCCCACCCCCCCCCCACCCACCCCCCCCCCCCCGCGTCACGTGACTGGCCAGATGGTACGTCATCAGCCTTGATGCGCGGAAATCTGGAACCTTAAGCTTCACACAGCTGTAGACGTGAGCTCATTAGCATAACCTTCACCATCTCAGGGTGGTTTGGTCAGGGCTGGCTTCAGTGCTACCTCCTAGTCGCTGGCTACCTACACCTTCTAGTTGCTGGGTACCTCAAAATCTGGCTACCTTCTAGTCGCTAGGTACCTTCTAGTCAATGGCTACCTTCTAGCCAATGGCTACCTTCTAGACGCTGGGTACCTCAAAATCTGGCTACCTTCTAGTCGCTAGGTACCTTCTAGTCAATGACTACCTTCTAGCCAATGGCTACCTCCAAGTCAGGCTACCGCCAAGTCTGGCTACCTCGTAATCTCTGACTACACCATTATGAGGCTAAATGGTTCCTTGTCGCATGACTATCTCATTGTCTATCATCTTGCATTCAACATGCTGTACGTCCATTGGCCCATTGATTCCGACTTGGCCTGACTCTCTGCCAGGATGTGGTTCTGGAACCATCTACAAGATCGCAGCAGTTGAGTTTTCTCTCCAAGGTGGATTATAATCCCCAAATAATAAGCATCACCTGCCCGGGGGTCTGGGAGCAGAACTCGAGACTCTGGGGCTTGTTGAAGATATCGAATTTTTCTGACCTTGACAGAATAGCCTCGACCTTTACATTCTAGTTCTAAAATTTTCAGTTAGTATAAGCCCCTAACGCTGATCGACACATTGTCTTCCTCACATAATTCAGTTAAATATTATGGACCAATTAAAATAAGTTAACTATTAATCCATCATTCACATGTTCAGCCTATGGCTAAGTTTTTCTTAGTTTTAATGTAATTTCGCATGGCTTTGTTTTTAACCTTCATGATGTTTGTAAATATGTCAAGTTCTGCACAAAAAAGTTATCAAAACTTCGTGCAATGTTCCTTCCTCACTCGTTAACACATGCTTTGCTTTTGTTATAAATGTTGTGTAGTTATCTGCTTAGTTTATAAAGTAAATTTAAAGCATGAACAATAATTATATATTAAGCTATTTGCAGTTTTATATTTATTTCTTTATATATATATATATATATATATATACATATATATATATATATATATATATATATTATATATATATATATATATATATATATATATATATATATATATATATGTATATAGATATATACTTTTTTTACAATTCTATTTATATATATGCTTTGATATATAAGTATATGTATGCATATATATATACATATATATACGTATATATATATGATTACATATATATGCATACATATACATATAATTACATATATATGCATATATATATATATATATATATATATATATATATATATATATATATATATATATATATATATATATATATATATATATATATGTATATAATGTAGGTAGGCTAGCTTCTAGCACGATATATTCCTTGTGTTGCAGATCATGGAGGACTGGAAGTATGTAGCCATGGTGCTAGACAGGTTGTTCCTGTGGATCTTCACCACGGCCTGTGTGGTTGGCACCTTCGGTATCATCCTGCAAGCCCCGACCCTGTACGACGAGAGGACGGCCTTGACCCCTGTTGACCCCAGCATCAGCTGCTACTCGGCTCACTCGTCCAGATGACCTAGTGGTCCCCGTGACCTAGTTCGAGTTGACCTTGTGGTCCAGATGACCTTGTGGCCGACTCACCTTTCACCTGAGTAAGCTGACCAGACGATAGACATAACGCTAGACTCACGTCTGGGAATGTCAGTCTCTCACGCTATAGCGGTCATGCGCAGTAGTGGTAGTCGATGACCTAGAGTAATTAGCATAGATAGCCCCGCCCATCGACAAGATTTCAAGATGAACATATTGTTGATCTCGTGATTTGACTTTTTGTTTCTTGAATATTTATCCGGGAATATTTAGGGAGTCATGTGACTGAATGCCCCACCCCTAAAAGTGACTTTCTTCACTCTAAATCTACTGCCAATGTTATGTACCTATACATTGTCTCTTTAACACTTAGTTATATCTATGTTAAGCTTAGGATTTGTTTGTTAGTTTCCACTACAAGCCAGACATGTGACCTTATATTGTATGTCACTGCGCATGCCTGTCATGGCCCACGTCACAACACTTGACATACAGATCTTTTCAGTGACGTCCTGAGCCTGTAAGTTTCTACAAGTAGGTTTTTAGTTTGCGCGTCAAAAGTTAATAAATTCCGAGGGTTCCAACCACCGGAAGTAATTTTTGTGGCTTGGTTGCTAGGGTAAACAAATTTTAACCTGGAGATTTCCTAGAGTGCGATGCTCGAGTCAGAGTTGAACATCCCCGCTAGCCATTCCTGCACTCAGTCTGGTAGTAGTCTCTACCCTCAGGCTAGTGGGGTGAGCAGAGGCACTTCAAAGCTTGACCTGTGGCCAGTGGGGGGTGAGCAGAGGCACTTCAAAGCTTGACCTGGGGCCGGCACTTGTGGTAAACAGGTACTTATACCACGTGAGTGGCCCGGGGATAGCGCTCTTCTCTGCTCGTGAAGCAGATATAAGTTTCCTGACGTCGTCTCTTGATCTTCTGTTGTGTGGGGCTGGTCACACGTACGACTTGTGCCGTGTTGGGTTGGTCTCGAGTAGTACTTGTTCTGTGTGAGATTAGCCCCACATAGATCTTGTTATGTGTGAGATGTGTTACTATAAACTTGTATCGGTAAATCTACTTTAACTTCTCAGCAAAACTAGATTACCTTTTGGTTTAACACCCTGGGGACGGGGATCAATGCTGTGTATGGGTGGGATATAGTCAAATCTGATGTAGGGTGGGAGTGTTTACGTTACAACTCCCGTGGGTAGTCTTAGTTACAGCTCCCGTGGGGTAGACCTAGTTACAGCTCCCGTGGGTAGCCTTACAGCTCCCGTGGGGTAGTCTTACAGCTCCCATGGTAGTCCTAGTTACAGCTCCCGTGGGTAGTCTTACAGCTCCGTGGGTAGTCCTAGTTACAGCTCCCGTGGGGTAGACCGTTACAGCTCCCGTGGTAGTCTTAGTTACAGCTCCCGTGGTAGTCTTAGTTACAGCTCCCATGGGGTAGACCGTTACAGCTCCCGTGGTAGTCTTAGTTACAGCTCCCGTGGTAGTCCTAGTTACAGCTTTCTGCTGTCTTTAACAGCTGCTGCGACGTCTTGTGTTCGCTGGACCATGACGAGCCGGATCCTGTAGATTCCAGTCATTAAGGTGGCTTTATTAGATGTTAATTAGACATCAGTCGAGCAGATCACGTGACAACCTCACATCTCATCTGTGTGCTGGTTGTGTACGGGCGGTCAGGAAAGGTCAAGGTTGTGTACGGCCGTCCAGAAAAGGTCAAGCTTTTGTACTGCTTTACATGAAATGTCAAGGATGTGTACTGCTGTACAGGAAATGTACAACTTATTGTTGATTGCAAGCAGTGGCGTCACTATGTCGGAGCGAACCCGGTGCGGTACCCGGGGTGTCACCCCCCTCCCCCTTCACTCTTCAACGAAGTACTGAAAAGCTATTTGGTGTCACCCTCCTCCCCCTTCACTCTTCACTCTTCAGCGAAGTACTAAAAAACTATTTGGTGTCACCCCCATCCCCCTTCCCCCTTCCCTCTTCAACGAAGTACTAAAAAGCTATTTGGTGTCACCCCCCTCCCCCTTCCCTCTTCAACAAAGTACTAAAAAGCTATTTGGTGTCACCCCCATCCCCCTTCCCTCTTCAACGAAGTACTAAAAAGCTATTTGGTGTCACCCCCTCTCCCCCTCCCCATTATGATGTATGTAGGTTTAGTAAGTCACTAAACCAACCGGAAAAAGTAAATATCTGAGTACTTGCTACTTTTCGCTTTGGTTTCACCCCCCTTGGATGCTGTCACACCCCCGCACCCCACCTGCGGACGCCACAGGTTATAGACATCATTACTTGTTGTGCACTTTTGATGGCTGTTTGCTTACGAATGTGTATCCATCCAGTCATCCATTGTATATGCCCTTCACCCTGAGATATAGGCAGTGATCCATTGTACGACATTTTATTATGCGACGTTTCATTATACGTTTCATTAATCACCTCAAAAAAAATTGTTTTTTTTATTTACTTGTAAAACACCTGTAAAATTAGCATCTACATTTTTATACTGTAAAAAAATTGTATCACTAAAATGAAAGCTTCCTTTGTCTATTTAAAACATGAATAGTTTGAAATGAAACGGTTTATATCGGGCGTGCTGGAATCAAAGAAACAACTTCCAGAACTTTTAATTAAGTACAGACGTTATGTGGCACCATCTGACGTATGTTCTATAAATAAACATAGTGTATTAGGTTCTAGTTCTCGATTTAAATGTCTGTCATAATTTTATCATTGCTGTTGTCATAGATTTAAATCATTGTTTACAACTGGCATTCGTATGTATATCTAACATGATTTGGTTGTATTTATGTGTGAACTGATTGGGTGTGAAAGCGGTGTTGTGTGACTGGGAATGTGTGTGTTGAATTTGAGTTGAATTTTTTGAAATGCTGAATTATGTTGATAAGCTAGATATTTCTTTCATGTTGTGCCATAAACACAATGTCATTGTCTTGCAAATTCATTAAACTTAAGAATTCACATTCCATGTTTGTTCTCTTGCTTATTTTGTGATACCTTCAACTCAGAGGCGTAGCGAGGGGGGGTGGGGGTGGGGGGGTGCGGAGCGCACCGGGTGACACCATTTAGGGGGTTGACGCCAAGGCAAAAAATAGCAAAATATATAGACAAAGAATGATAATTCCACTTAATTAAGTGATTTATTCGAGTGTTAAATAGTCTTTTAAGAGGTGCTAATCGAAAGTTTGAGTGGGGGGGGTGCAAATCGAAAATTGAAAGTTTGTCCCCGGGAAGGGTCGCTTCTCCTCTGGGGGGGTGACACCATTAAATGCCGCACCGGGTGACACCCGACCTCGCTACGCCGCTGCTTCAACTTAATATTCTAATTTTTTCCAACAGCTCCTTCATGTGTCAAACCCAGCTTATAGATTTGGTTGAATGAACTCAACAACTGAGCTATCTGTTGGCCACACTACAACAATATTAGCCAGACAATCACATTATTTACATAATTTATTGGCCACTCAATAATATAAATCAGGTATTCTACTGGCCAAACAATTACTTGATTTATACATTTTTAATAACCAGACAATCACAGTATTCAGTTATATTACTGGCTACACAATCACATTGCTCAGATATTTGGTACACATATACATTTTTTTTTAATTGTAATGGCCACACACTCACAGAATTCAGACATTCTATTAGCCAGACAATGCTCTTTTTCCCCAACGTGGACATTCTGTTTTAGCAACAAAGTACAAACTTGACAACTCTACTGTCAAAAGTCAACTCTACAGTCATAAGTCAAATCTAGTCATATGACAACATAACAGTCATTAATCAACCTCACACTCATAAGACAACCATGAAATCTACGGTGGTAAGTCAACCCTAAGACCATTCTACCCTCATTACATAACCTTGAAGTCATCAGTAAACTCTACAGTAACCCTACAACCCTAAGACTATTCTATCGTCATTACATAACCTTGAAGTCATAAGTCAACTTCGGTAACCCTACAACCCTAAGACTATTCTATCGTCATTAGATAACCTTGAAGTCATAAGTCAACTTCGGTAACCCTACAACCCTAGACCATTCTATCGTCATTAGATAACCTTGAAGTCATAAGTCAACCCTAAGACCATTCTACCGTCAAGTCAACTCTACGGTATCCCTACAATCATAAGACCATTCTATCGTCATTAGATAACCTTGAAGTCATAAGTCAACCCTAAGACCATTCTAACGTCATTAGATAACCTTGAAGTCATAAGTCAACTCCATAACACTGTATCAGTACGTCTGTGAGAGAGATACGACCACAATCTGCCACCATTTTGATTCTCAAATCTTGCCTTTCATCATCCCTTTCATCACCTTCCAGCGATAAGACACCAAGTCATGGAATAAGTTCGGTTCACCTTGCAGGTCCTACAACACACCTGGTTCCTGAACACACCTGGTCCCACAACACACCTGGTTCCAGAACACACCTGGTTCGAGAACACACCTGGTTCCAGAACACACCTGGTTCCAGAACACACCTTATTCCAGAACACACCTGGTTCCAGAACACACCTGGTTCAAGAACACACCTTATTCCAGAACACACCTGGTTCCAGAACACACCTGGTTCCAGAACACACCTGGTTCCAGAACACACCTGGTTCAAGAACACACCTGGTTCCAGAACACACCTGGTTCAAGAACACACCTGGTTCCAGAACACACCTAGTTCCAGAACACACCTAGTTCCAGAACACACCTGGTTCCAGAACACACCTGGTTCCAGAACACACCTGGTTCCAGAACACACCTGGTTCCAGAACACACCTGGTTCCAGAACACACCTAGTTCCAGAACACACCTAGTTCCAGAACACACCTGGTTCGAGAACACACCTGCTGTCAGGCGCCTGGGGTCCAGCACCTCCCGTAGAGGTGTGGACGGATCAAACGGCCAATCAATGGCAGCAGATAAACAAAATTGGCGGGAAAACTCCTGACGGTAACCGCCCTTTCATCCGAATTAAAGTTGAAAGGTTACCTTATAAAAAGCAAGCACGGTGAGCGAACTGAAAGGAGAAGTTATCGCTCTACGTAATGTCAACAACAGATAGCGGGAGGTTAAGTCAGGATAGGAGGCGTCTCAAGGTGAGGTGCTGGGGTACTGCCCGCCCAGGCGACATTTTTGTAGAATATACATACATACATATATATATATATATATATATATATATATATATATATATATATATATATATATATATATATATATATATATATATATGTATGTATATATATACATATATAAATATATATATATATATATGTATACATATATACATACATATATTATATGAGTGTATATGTGTGTGCTGTGTTTTGGTGTGTTTGTGATTTAAGTGTGTGTGCGTGGGGGGATTGATGTGTACGTATGTGTGCGTGTGATAGATGTGTGTGCATGCGTGGTTGAAGTGTGTGTGTGGGGGGGGGGGTGATTGTTGTGTATATGTGTGATTGTGATGTGTGTATGTGTGTATGTGTATGCATGTGTGCGTGTGATAGATGTGTGATAGATGTGTGTGTGTGTGTATGTGTGTAAATAGGCAGCTGAAAACAAATACCACGTGATGCCCCTCGTCCAATGAATGGCCACTGAGACGGATCGCTACTGTTGTGAGATATGGACAGGCCATGTACAAAACCCAGCATGTGTTACGTCACATCACGTGACCAAGTGGCCGTTACAAAGCCTGACATGAGCAGGTTCTTGTAAGAAATGACTGACATGCCCCACTTAGCTGACATGAATTACATTCTTAACGTGAAACTTTGCTCGAGGCATTCGTTTTTCGCGCCTTAAAAAGAACCAAATGCGACACTTAATGAACAGTTTGTGATTAATTTAAATTGGTGAGAATTTAATCAGAAAAAAAAAATTTGATATTATTCAATGGTCCGTGCATTCGCATAAAGAAGTTTTTGGGTTTTTTTTTTTTTTACAACGTCAAAGCTAGTAGCTCAAGCAAATTATTTCCTGCAAGAGTACAGGAAGGGGGGGGGGGGGCACAAGAATGGGCCAACATCTTAGCTGGGACCCTTTTGTCAAGAATATAGCTTTGATTGTTGTGTGGTCCGAGCCATTTTAATTTTTATGGTTATACGGTGCCATTTGGATTTATAACATGCATGTTTCCGATACGTGAGTATAGTTAACTATGGTGGCCATCTAAGTTGATCCTTCAGTGGTAATGTGGCCAAGTTGTATTGAGATGGCCATATAGTGTTAGGTGGTCAAATAATTATGAGGTGGCCATACAGTGCTGAGATGGCCATATCGGTATTAGGGCGCCATATACAGAGAGTGGCTGTTGTAGATATTAAACTAGAGCCCCATATACAGAGAGGGACTGTTGTAGATATTAAACTAGAGCCCCATATACAGAGAGGGGCTGTTGTAGATATTAAACTAGAGAGGGGCTGTTGTAGATATTAAACTAGAGAGGGGCTGTTGTAGATATTAAACGAGAGAGCCCGGGTATCGGGACCCGAGCTGTTATTAAAGGCTCCGGGAGACAGCCATCCTGTTGACACGCCCCTGGGGCCGGGGAGGGAGATGGCTTATGTTCCGGCTACATAGCCGTACGGGGTGAGCGGGAATTCAATCAACTCTAGCCGGACGCCGGCAGACAATGCTGGA